TCCCTCCTTATCTCACGTGAAATTTGTGCTTATTACGCGTTGATACATTCAAGAAACATTTATTTAAATATAAAAAATTATAAGGGTGATGCCGTTGGTATATTTGAAAGGGAAGTAAGGGTATGGTATTGTACTTTTCTGTCCTATACTGTACTGCTCTGTAGTGCATTGTACTGTACCCTGTACTTTACTGTGTACAATACTGTATTGTACATGATTGTACTGTATATGACTGTACTGTACGGTTTTGTAGTGTACTGTACCGTGTACTCAAGTATACTGTAGAGTATTATAGTGTACGGTACTGTAGTGTTTTGTACTATACTCTTTTGTAGCGAACTGTATTGTACTGGACTGTAGCGAAATGTATCCTGTAGAGTACTATAGCGTACTGTACTCTTGTATATTGTAGTGTAGAGTAGTTTACTGTAGTGTATTATATTTTAGTGTACCCTGTAGCGTCCATGAATGTACTGTAGTGTATTGTAGTGTACTGTACCCTTGAGTTTAGTGTACGGTAATGTACAATACTGTACTGTATCGTTTACTGTACTGCAGAGTATTGTATGGTACTGTACCTTGTAGTGTACTGTACTGCAGAGTATTGTATGGTACTGTACCTTGTAGTGTACTGTACTGTACGGTACTGTATTGTACTGTAGAGAACTGTGCCCTTGGCTGTTGTGTATGGTACGGTAATGTACTGTATTGTAATGTATAGTACTGTACTGTATTGTACCGTACGGAAGTGTACTCTACAGTACTGTAATGTATAGTAGTGTAATGTATCGTACCGTACGGAAGTGTACTCTACAGTACTGTAATGTATAGTACTGTACTGTATTGTACCGTACAATACAGTACAGTACTATACCGTGGACGTAGACGGTCTACAGTGTAAAGGTGAGTGTTTATAATTGTGGTGGTTTGAATGTCACGTTGATGCGGCGGAGAGTAGTTAACTTGAATGTTGTGCAAGGTAGTTATGTTGACGTTATGAAATATTTATTAATGAAGTGGAAATAACATCGTCAGTTAACGATGACGTTAAAATAGTTAACATGGTACACTAAATAATCACATGTTGCCGGGAGAATTGGCTGCAATTAAACAAAGTAGGAAGTAATGACATTGTTGTTGGAAACGTTAGCCTCATAATGGACGGACGTAGAATTGAACCGTACCTTACACGAGTTAAAAGAGTAGTTAATAACGTTGCCACTAAGGCCAGTGTACCGGGCCTAACGCAGTGGTGTATATTGAAGCGGCACCCACTCGATGTATAGGTAAATAAATGTAGGTGATGAAGATAAGGCGTGGTGGACGTAGATTTGCGGCATGCAATAGACAAGTCTGGGTTGTGGACGAACGGAGTTGGACATTGATGTGGTGAAATAAGTGGCAGTTTGAGGACCTCTACAGCCATATCTGGGCGCTTATAGGGAGTGTTTTGATTTAAAACTAGTTAAAAGTGTTAATCTGTGAATCTTAAGTTGATAGAAGTGGAAAAATGCAGTTAGGCTGCAGGATGTTTCTTCCAGAAAAGTGTTAAGACTACTGAATAACTGTGGGTAGGCTTGGGCATCATTAGTTTCTTTAAAATGGGTTGATAGTGCTGTTTCCCCCCCCCCCTTTTTGTCAATCATTTAATGGGGACTTTAAAGTGGTCTGGTTACCCGAGTAGATAAGTCTTAACGTATGAGGAGGGGGGGGGGGGGGAGAAAGTGTCGACAATCCGTGGCCTTGGTGTCCTCTTTGATTGACGTAGACATATTGAGCTGTAGGTTGTTTGACGTAGAGCTGCTACTAACAAAAAAACATTAAATTGCTTATTGTAAGTAAATGTTTATAGTGCATGAAATAAGCGTGACTTCAATAATAGGTCCTAAAATGAATCTTTGATTTTTTCTTAATGATACGGTCACTGGAGTAATTTGTAGTGCACATGAGGCTCGTGGCACTATTTATCTATAGTTGTCATGGTTGCGCTTTGATGGTATTTTATAGAAAAGTAGCAATCGTCAGTTTGAACATATGTTGCTATGTATTGTCTACCAACTTTTAACACTTTGAGGGAAAACGTGTTAAAATAAAATAGTAATTGTTAGATGTTGAAATATAATATCGAAAATGTAATGAATTTAGATTTGTGTTCATAGATGGTTGTAGGCCATAATACGAAATGTTTGTTAGGATAAGTTGATGGATATTATTGATATCGAGGTGGTGAGCGTTTGGAGAGGTTTAGGCTTGCCGGAACAGAACGATGAAGTATCTATTTGTGGCGACACCGGCAGGGGTTGAGGACTAGCATCGCCACGGTCGAGACCTTGGTCAAGGTCGACCACGGTCGTGACCTTGAGGCGAGTCTATTAATTGTTGTTGGAATTTAAAGACATCTTAAAATTATGTACTACCTAACACTTACATCACGATTTATATTTACAACACGTGCTGATTTATGCATGTGGTGTAGTTTGAGCATTATAGGTGATGAGACCCAGAATGACTAGACGGAACAGTTATTTATATTAGGGTGGAAAAGTGTTGAAGCCTTGGTGTGTATATATATCTGAATGGTAGACGGTATTGCTCTAGAGATGCATAGATGGTTAAACACAGGTGAAGAGGCGCTTACACAGTTGGCCGACAAAGAGGGTTAGCTGGCAAGAGCCAGACATAGTGTCAGGTAGGTGGACAGGGATGTTAGTTTCATAACGGTGTATGTCCCATTTGATAATTTTCAGGCGTTCCTGTGCATTATGGTATGTCTCCCCCCCACCTCTGTGTAGTTTATAGAAATGTGCGTGTATTTGGTATAATGATGACTGTGTAGAGGATATGAATGTTCATAATGGTGAATACAATGGCGTTTCGCAGGCTTGAGTACCTTAGACGTGGAGAACATGGTGTGTAGGTACTTTAGGGACAGACCTGCAAGTGTTGAAGGTGGAAGTTGACGTATTACATTTCGTACCTTGTATGGAACATGTCGTTGTAAATCTTTATTGTAGTGCAGAGTCGTTGAGCATATAGTTTATGGTTATTAGATATGCAGTTGATAGTTATTAAAGTGCAGTATAACTAATAATTTAGTGAATCATAACATGGTAGGGGGGGGGCTGGGCTGAAGGCGCGTCGTTACTGTGCTCAGAGGGCAGTAGATGTGATGAAGGAATAGGAAGTGAATAGTTGATGTCGAAAAATTAATGGACAATTTGGGAATCATAAATGAATACATAGTTGCAGGGAATCATAAAGTAAATATACGAATTATGGAGTGTGGGGAAGAAACTAGGTATAAAAATGTAGTATGGGAAACGTTAGTTAAATAATGAAGTGAAAATTGATATAAATGTAAAACAGACGTGAATGTCGTTGATCCTTTAGTGCAAAAAAGAAAACAAAAGGTTAAGGTGTTGTATTTGTAGAATATATAGAATTGAATCCTAAAAGATGTATTATAATAGATAGGTTCAGGAATGATAGAATAATAACCATATACCAAATTTGTTTTATAGATTGGGGAGATCATGGTTGATTGGTAGAGGAAATCCGAGCCAGTGGACTTTGACGTACAACGGAAGCAGAGGCTGATGTGCAAGAAAGAAGTGTTGAAGACTTAAGGATCACGCGACCCACACCGTGAACTGAAAGGACTTGATATTGGCGAAGATATGAAGGTTATTCATTCAAGAACCCCCTTCTCTTTCATGTAATGTGTACACTAGTAAAGATGGATGTGAATTGAAATATTGAGTTTAACACTTTCCCCTTCCACCTAACAAATGGGATTTAGTTGCATTTCAAGTAGATCATAATGTAGTCGTAGTAGTGAGCGGGAAGAACGTGTGTATTGTGGCCTTCAGTAGTATCTCCTGAAAGTGTTCCCATGATAGGGGCCAAAATGTCTTGGTGGTGAAACCCCCTCACTGTGTGGCTCGTTGTCGCCGTGAGGGGGCTTGGTGGGCAGCTGCCAGAGTGTGATGCTCCGTAGGTCAGTCTGTCGTTTTGCAGCCTTATGCTCCTGCCTTTACCAATTTTGCCAGGCCCCTTTTCCTTTTACTCGTGTTATTTTTCTCCTCGTATCAAATTGTCATTTTCTGCCGACCTTTTGCCTGTTTTGATTAATGTTTCGACCTTTTTATTTTTTGACGCCCGGGTGCTTGAGGAGGCATAATCTTGCACCCGTAGAACTGTAGTACCCGACGTAGAGCGAGGGGACCCTTTTATTGTCAGTCCTTTCGTCACCCCTGTAGCCCCTGCGACCTGACTACTCCCCTCCCTCCTCTGCGGTAGGGTCGAGTCCCCAGTGGTGACCACCTCGTCCCCTGGCACGGCTCCCTCTCTCATTGACTACTGCGCCTTTTACCCCATGAACTCCTGGGATTCTCAACGCCGTTCCCGCCACGGCCGCACTCGCACGATCCCTTCCCGTAATACTAATTACAACGCCTTGTTTGGCCCCGCTGCGTGGGCTAAATACTTTGATCTCCATCTGGATTCTACTCCTCCTGACGACTTCTCCCTCCATAAACACGTTGTTGAATCAGTAGTGTGTTACTTTTAACTCCACCAGTTACGGTACGTGTGTCGTCGCTGCTGCTCCTCAGGATGCAGCTACTCGCTTAGCCGCTTTATCCTGCATTGGAGACACCCCTGTTCGGGGTCTCCCAGAACGCTCGGTTAATTAACGATGCTTTACCGAGTGGATTCTAGCAGAAAAGGATCTCTGCACGCTCTCCAGGCCAGCAGTCCACATGGAAGCTTAATGGGTGTAGAGTCCTTCCAACAGTAAATATTGGTAAGTTATCCTATTGGTTAAATATATATATGTAGAGATAATGTTAAACAATTAAAATCGTTTAATGTACTCTATATATCATAATAGATTACTTTGAAACCCGTATCAGTCGCTAAACCAAGAATTGGGCTATTATTACAAATTCGCTACTTTTAGACCGTCAGCTCGCTACTTTTAGCAATTTGAATCTGGCAACACTGCTGAGCTGAGGCGCTCACACACACGCACTCAAGATCGTCGTCGCCCCTAAATCAACACAACACACGCACTTGCTGAGCCTTGCTGAGCTCAGGTACACTCTCGCGCACTTATGAGCTCTGCTGACCCTTAAGTGTCTTCCCAACAACCTCTAAAGCACTCTGAGCACCATTATAAACATAAGTCATTAGCCTCGTAAGGAAAACCTCTAGATGTAAACAAGACAATTACAGACATCTTAAACCTCCAGGATATCCCCTGAATATCGAGGCTGAAGTAACAGAAGGATAAATAGGTAAGGCTTGTGCTAATGCTGCTGAATTTTGAACTGATTGGGGTGAAGATAGGTGTATTAAGTCACTATAGGTCGATAAGATTTGCCCAAGTAGCTGACGAATACTTTTAAGACCAGTTAATTCCAGGCATAAGGCTCAGCTCTTGAGAAATGTTTGATCTGTCATCACCACTTAAACAAACCCAACTTGAACTCAATACAATCCAACCTAACTGCATCTAATGAAAATAAGATGCATAGTTTTGTTATATGATGTGGATGACATCACTGTTTTTTTTTTATTTTGTACAAGCATTCGTATAGGGTCTGTCTAATTACCACAAGCTTCCTGGCAATACGTTAGTAATGAATAAATATATGTTAGGTTAGGCTGACCAAACCTAACCTAACCGAAGCTTGGATCGTCGACTTGATTTGGCGTCAGCAGCTTTTTATTTTCTTTATAAAAAGAAAATAAAAAGCTGCTGACGCCAAATCAAGTTGACGATCCAAGCTTATGTTAGGTTAGGTCAGCCTAACCTATCATATTTATTCATTACTAACGTATTGCCAGGAAGCTTTGTGAAGCTTGTGGTAATTAGATGGTGCATTCTTAAACAAACCCAACCTGAACTCAAAACAATCCAACCTAACTAAACCTAATGAAAATAAGATGCATACTTTTGTTATATGATGTGCGTGACAGCACTAACCTTTTTTATATGTACAAGCATTCGTATATTCTTGACAGCCACTAGCTCGCATAGCATTTCGGGCAAGTCCTTAATCCTAATTTTCCCTGGAATGCGAACCTGCTAAATCGCTTAACCAGGTACCCATGCTGGGTGAACAGAGGCTACATTTATGGGTTGGTGCCCAGTCAACCCTCCTCAGGCCTGGAGACCTGGTTGAGGACCGGGCCGCGGGGACACTAAAGCCCCGAAATCATCTCGAGATAACCTCCCCGGCCAGGATACGAACCTAGGCTAAATCGCTCGTGAAGCGCGGCGTGAGTATCTTACCACTGCACCAAAGGGACATCATGTTTAAAATGTACTGCTAGAATCACTAGGTACTAGGCTTTCATAATCTTCATAGGAACATAAATAAACACCATTTAAATATATTATGTAGCCAATTACAGAGCAGTTCATAAACGTGAACTCAATAAAAGATGTGTAGCAATTTATTATCAAGATAACTTTAGTTTAGGTAAAGTAACTTGGAATGGAGATGATTAATGTATATTTGTTTAAGCCACGTTATTGACCGATTCTCTAATGTGTAAGCATATTTATATACTTAAAGAATTTACGTTTTGTTTGCACATACTTTATTCTTTGGTACATGCTTTTTATGATAATTGATTGTGTGTGTGGGGGGGGGGGGATGGGGGACAGGAAGCCAGTGTATTCATACACAATAGGTTTATATTGAGGTCCCTCCCTGCAGTCAAATTACTGACCCCGTCCAGGATGCAACCCCACAAGAAGCTGACTAACTCCTGAGTACCTACTTCCTGCTTGAACAGGGGTATTAGGTGATAGGACATGCGTCCAACCATTTCTGTCCCACCTGGGATTTGAACTCGGAATTCTTGATTGAGAGTCGAGAATGAACCCAACTGTACTACTGGGACCCTTTATATACAGTACTCTATTGTATGTTCTTTAATATCTATATGTGTGCAAAAAAGCATACTAATATTGTAAGTACAGTACAGTATTGTATCAAAGAGGAAACTGATCCTGTAAATACAATGCAGTACTGGACTTTATTAAAAAGTATACTGATATTGTAAGAACAATGTACAGTGTCTGAATTCTGTTGAGTACTGTAATTGCTATTTATTCTTCTATAGGTCATCATGCCTGAAGTGAAATCCGAGATCTATGATGGCTGCACAGTTGTGGTACAGAAGGGCACGTACCTTAAGACTTGTCGTGTGATGGCTGGCAGGTTAGTGATGTGGACCAACATTATATAGTCCATTTTAAATTGGTAAAAGGCACGCAATAATGACTTCTATAAGCATAATGAAAAATATAATTTGAATGTTATAAACATAGTGTACTGTATATATGATATATATACTGTACAGTGGTACCTCGGAATGCGATTGTCCCTGTATGCGAGGTTTTCGGAAGGCGAGGTGTATTTACTCCAAAAATTTGTCTCAGAAGGCGAGGGTTACTTCGGGAGGCGAGTTTGGACGCGAGTTTGTTGATACGCGTACAGCCGACCTAGCGCGTTCGTCGCCCCTCCGCCCCGCCGCCCCTCAGTTTATTATTGTCTGGCGCTCAGTGACTACCCCCACATCAATTCTTCTCGCGGATTTTCAGTGTTTTGTTGGATTTTTGGTGATTTGTCTATACAATTTGTTATTATATATCTCACCATGGGTCCCAAGAAAGCCAGTGGTAAGGATAAAGGCCAGAAAGCTCCTGTGAGGATGACAATAGAGGAGAAACAAGAGATCATTCGGAAGCATGAGAACGGTACACGTGTTGTTGAACTTTGTAGGCAGTACAACAAAGCCACATCAACAATATGCACTATACTTAAGAAGAAAAATAAGATTATGGGTGCTAAAGTGGCAAAAGGAGTAAGAACATTAACGGCACAAATACTTGAAGAAGTGGAAAAGTTGTTATTAATTTGGATACACGACAAGGAGTTGAGGGGTGATAGTGTTTCGGAGGCCATTATTTGTGAGAAAGCCAGGGTGTTGCACGAAGACCTTCTAAAGAATACCCCTGCAACGAGTGATGCAGATAAGAAAGAGTTTAAGGCAAGCAGGGGCTGGTTTGAAAAATTTAGAAAGAGAAGTGGTATCCATAGTGTTACAAGGCATGGGGTTATGTGATGTGATTATGGAAGGGGACTCCCCTTCCAAACAGTAACTCCTCTCCTCCTCCCCCCTCCTCACCATCTTCCATACGCCTACAGCACTCGACAGTAAGGTAAGTAATAACTGGAACACAGTTTTGTAGGTTTATTTAGATGAATTAGGTAAATTAGGTATAAAAATTTAGTTTGATGTGGGGTTTTTGGGGTAGTCAGGAACGGATTAATTCATTTCCCTTTATTTCTTATGGGGAAATTAACTTCGGAATGCGAGTTTTCGGAAGGCGAGGCGTCTCCAGGAACGGATTAAACTCTTATTCTGAGGTATGCCTGTATATGTTTACAGTATATAATATATATAGTGTTTTTTTACAGGACCTATGCATTTGGTAAACGAGGGGATGGTCAATTCACTCTCAATATTGATGGTGCATTAGGCTCTCAGTTTGGCTCTTCATTCCGAATGGAGAGGATGACAAACAAGCTTTTCAGCATTCATAAAACTGAACACCTTAGTAATTGTCTTGATATTGGTAAGTATTGAATTATATTTCGGGATAGCACAGCTCCATATTTTCTTACTTGTTAGAAAATTCAGTATTGTACATTAGCAAATGACTAACTGGTTATCATCAGTAAAGAATACCTTACCTTGAGATGATTTCAGGGCTTAGCATCTCTGTGCCCTGGTCCTCGACCAGGCCTCCTTTTTTGTTATGCACTCCCAAGAAGTAGCCCGTAGCAGCTGTCTAACTCCCAGGTACCTATTTACTGCTAGGTAACAGGGACATCTGGGTGAAAGAAACTTTTTGCCCATTTGTCTCCGCCTCCGCCAGGGATCGAACCCTGAACCTCAGGACTACGAATTCGAAGCGCTGTCCACTCAGCTGTCAGGTGCCCTAGTGTCCACATGGCCCGGTCGTCAACCAGGCCTCCTCGTTGCTGGACTTGCTGGACTGGTCAACCAGGCTGTTGGATGCAGCTGCTCTTAGCCTGACATATGAGTCACAGCCTGGTTGATCAGGATACCTGGGGGTTTTGTCATGATTTATTTTTGTTTTTTATTAAGTGGTGTCTAATATTTTGAGTGTTTCTTTGTATTGACTTAATGAAGTGTAGTGGTGAATGGAAGAGTCATATTAAAATTGGACGGTGGAACTCCCTAGTAGCAATTTTTGTAAATAAATTTAAACTTTTAATTGTAGAGGATATGACCTTCAATACCACTGTATTGCAATTAGTAAGCATAACTGCACCAATTTTTCTACTTGTATAGTTGATACCAGGGAATGTTCCCAATTCTCAATTTGAATTGCAACTTTTGGAAGGTTTCTGTATTTTATAAAGAACGAATGATTTTAGATCATTTAAAAATGAGTGCCATAAATGGTATATGAGTAAAGCATGTTAAGGGAAGATGGATGGGGGGGGGGGGGTAGACGGGTCCTTTCTTAAACAGCTACTTGGTTGCCTTCATTACCTCCTGTTTTGCTTCAACTTTCCTTGTGTTGTTCAAGGTCCAGGCCTCTCTAAACAAGAGACAAGCAGTTCCTTAAATAAGGAATGGCTAGAATGGGAGATAAGTTGGGCAGTGCACCTTTGTAGTGGATTGATCTTTGATCTTTGCATGCTTACCTGCCCCTTTGAGGAAGCAAGATATTGGTGCTTTCTCCCAGTGAACTGCAACTGTCTAATGAGTCTGACCATTGGGGTGTAGTTCTAGGGTGTCAGTGCAGTAACCTCAGCAGGCTACCAAGGTATCTCACCATAAGGTAACCGCTCAGATAGGGGTCATTTCATTACACTCGATGCTCTATTTTTGCAAATAAATGACTACCACAGGCAGCAAACTATGTATGTATGGATGGATGGATGTAACCTATTAAAATAGGTTCCATCCAAAAAATTTAATTTTTAATGCACATATATCAGGCTTTCCCTTCACCCTTCTTCAACCACTATGGCATTGTATTAACTTTCTCCATTGATGACAGTGTTAAAAATGTTGTATCACTATTGCAAGTTTCATATTGATGTTGATTATAAGGTTATTCTCCCACACACTTTACTTGCAGTGAAGGAGGGCGGGGAGGACAATCGGGACTTACAAGATGATGGTCGATCCCAAAAGTTAACTTCTGAAGAAATTATTCAGCTGAAAGGTTCAGGGCTCACAGGCAAAGAGGTGGGAAGGATGGCTATGAAGTTTTATAAAGTTTTTGTATTGTTATTTATGCACTATGATAATGAAGGTTAAATTAAATTATGACTCGCATCTTATTTTAGTATTAAATGTTTCTAAGCAATGCATTGAAGATTTCTCAATTGTGTATCATTTTTTTTTTATATTAACACAGTTAATTAGTTCAGTACTTTCTTAGTACTGTATAATGATTTAACTCAATTAAGAGTATGATATTGTACTGTTTGTTAAACTGTGGGTTATGAAACTGGCCATTCAGTTTTGTACCTGTTATTTATCTTATTAAATATATGGAATGACCAACTTTAAAGTAGTACAAACTACTGAATATTGGTCATTTGGTCACTTTCTTTGGCAACATCTCACTCGCCTTGAAATAATGTAATCTCCAGTATTGGCCACTGCTGCTTTCCATCTCCCAGGGCAGTTAGGATCTTTCTCTAAATACCCACTTTCTTTCTCCTTAATGCTCTAGCTTCCAAGGCCATAGCTGTACCCTGTCCGACTTTCCAGCTGCCTCCTTTGGCTGCAGAAGCTTAAGGGCTTTATGTGATGATCAAGGCATGCAGAGTTTGTTCCAGGAGTTGTCAACTCTTCCTCTGGTTTGATGTTCATTGTCACCAGTTTTTGCACAGGGATTGGGGGCATCTTTTGTAGAGCTCTTAGTTTTGGGAATTATTTTTTTAGTGTTAGTTTTGTTCCAGGCTCCTCAACCAGTCTGTCCTCTTCCCTAGTGGGGAATACTCTTTGGCTGGAGGCTTTGAGAGTAGATGAGGCCTGGGTTCTCTTTTGACCCTGCTTGGGTCTTAATTTCCAAGCATGATGGTGATAACCTCTAGACTGAGAAGCTGTTTTACCCTCCTGAATTTCAGTGTATTACATTCATTTTTCCACCTTGTGTTTAATTCGTGTTTCCTATGGAGGTCTCTGATCTTCTGACTTTACAGGTACACAAAGTCCCATCTTCCTGTCCTTCGTGCATAGTGGGACTTCTTGTAACTCTTGTATCCATGCTTCAGAAATTTGTCACACTTTCTTCAAGTTTCTTCAGTCTGCTATTTTCTGTGGGGAAAATGGAGACTGTTTTGTAAGGGATCTTGTATTTACCTAAATTAACCTGAGGGCCACAACCTCTAGTGGCCTCGATGGGTGGGAACAGGAAGCTTGCGGCTTTTTGAAGGTCCCATCCTGTTTTTGGGATGTGGCAGTACTATGTCCAGGTTCCCCACTTGGTGCAGCATCTTTACAGATTTTAAGGCTTGCTTTTTGCTTTCATTTGCTGGATATTGTTAAAGTTCTGTTCCTGCCAGGAGCTCTTCTTTCATTCTAGTGCCAAGTTGGTCTGGCTGGTCTAGAGTTGATCTAACTTTTTGCCTCACTTTTCATTACTTCTGCTGCAGCTGTGATCTTGCCTTGATTCTTCATAATGTTTACAGTATAGTGGCCTTATCTCCATGCCTTGCCTGCAGATGTCTGCTTCTTGGACTTTCAGGCATCAGCTTGGACACTTTTGCTTTTGCCCTCTTCATATATTTATGTTCTCTTCCTGGAGAGAATGTGCACCTGAATTTGAAGGGTGTGTGCTTGTCGTTTTCTAATAGGCAAGGCATGTCATAGAGTAGTCCAACACAGCATTACGGAGGATTGGAACGAACATGTTAGGTATGGCAGTGGCAGCCAAAGAGGCAGACAACAAGACATGAGTGCCAACAGCTCCTATGGAAGCCACTCAAAACTTGAAAAGATAAGAGCTCTTAGTACACCAGAAACTGGATTGCATTGGTTAAGCAAAAACAAGTCTTGAAGTCCATGAGATCAGAGCTGAGGACAGTGGGGGAGGAAGCTGAACATTGAATACCAAAACCCCAGCTTTCTGGAGTAATTGATAAGTATACAGAGCATAGTTCAAGATATTCAGATGCGTCTTGGCCAGCAGGGAGTTGAACACAGAGGAACGCTCCTTCAGTCTATAGACATAGTGTGTGGAAGGGTGGCACCTTCCAGTCTAAGAAAGATAATCTTCTGGCCAAGATGATGGGGGAGAAGGGAACCTGATACTGTACCGATGATGTGGAAGATGAATGTAATTCAAGCAGTCTAATGTAGTCAATGTAATTCTGTGGATTTAAATAGAGGATTTTTTTTAGCTCAAGGATTGCAATAAAACAGGAATTTTGTAAAGTTTGTGTATTGCCGACATACTGTGGAAGGAAACTCGAGATATAATTGCCCTAATGCTATGCAATTGATGCATATCAAGCTTCTTATTTTATTACCAATCCTGAGTTTTATTGCTATAACATATTTTTCTTCATTACAGGTGCAGTATTTGTAATCCACCATAACATGTAAACACACAACAGTTTTCATCATGAAATTTTGTTCAACTCTATATATAAAGTATGTCCTTTCAGGTTATTCAGACGATCACAGAAAACAGCACTACATTCAAAGATAAAACAGTATTTTCCAAAGAAAAATATGTTAATAAAAAGCAGAAGAAATATGGTGAAATCATCACTATACATAGACCATCTATACGACTGTTAAGCAATATGTATTACACCCAGGACCCGCTCAAAATAGCGTAAGTATTGATTATGCATTTCATTAGTCGAGGTTTCTTGTGGGCCATGATAGCCGACATTCAGAAGCAGACATGATAGCAGACATTCTTATTTATTTGAGTTTTTTTCCAAGCTCATTTTGCTGAAGCCTGAAGTATATGATTTATTGTATGTTATAATTTCCCTTATCAGGGACAGGAAGCTTTGTCTTCTTTTGGATTGTGTATTGTCATACTGGTACTCCTCCAGAGGTGAATAGTGGGTAGCGGCTCAGTTTGACTCCTTTTGAGGTGTGTCTCGAACTTTGATCCTCAGTGCTGTTCCCTTTCAGGGTGTGTTGGTTGGTTCTTTGGTGTGATTGTAGTGGTATATCATGGCCATGGGGTTGAGCTCAGCTCTTCACGTGAGCAGGTTGAGACAGGTTGAATTCTCATACTTTGTGGTATGACCATTTGAAAAGTTCCTTGTGGCAATAGGCCTCAAAATCTACAAGGACCTGGCGCGTGAGGAGTGTCTTGTGTGAACTCGAGTCCTGACTGTGGCGAGCAAGCAAGGAGCCACTTGGATATATGATTTTTAATTACCCAACACATGTTATTTTCTCTACAGTTAATCAGATCTGTTGACACACTTCTCTAGTTATTATAATGAGATAGTCATTTGTATTTTTTAAGTAGTGTATAATCTAGTTTGTATTTTCAGATATGCTGGAATGTTACCAGGAGTCTTCATATAATTGATCTTCATTGATTACTTGATGCAATTCAATAATATTTGCTTACTACGGAGGTTAGCAACTTAATAAATAAAACCATTTATTCGTGGCTTTTCCACCAGGAATCTTCGCGTTGATACATTGTCGCAGCTGCTGTGTCACGTGAATGTTCAGCCAGGGGGTTCTTTTGCTGTGTTCGAGTCTGGCACTCAGGGCTTGGTGACGGCTGCCATGTTGCACCGCATGGGCACCACTGGACATTTGGTTCAGATTTATCATGGTAGTCATCCACAGAGGTAAAAAAAAATTCTTAATTACAGTGTTCTAGTCACTATCTATAATTTCCTTCTATGCTGAAATTGCCATATATGATTGTTCCTTATTGATTTTCAATACATTGATCCTTATGGGTTTCAATGAATTGATCCTTATTGGGTTTTGATCTTTATGAGGTTTCAGCACATTGATCCTTATGGGGTTTTCAGTACAGTGGTACCTCGGAATGTGAGTGTCCCTGTATGCGAGTTTTTCGGAAGACGAGCAGGATTTACTCCAAAAATATGTCTCGGAAGGCGAGGGTTACCTCGGGACGCGAGTTTGTTGATACGTGTACAGGCCGACTGGCGCGTGGTGGCATGGCGATCGTGCCTCAGTTTACCAGTGTCTCGTGTCCAGTGACTATCCCACCTGAATTCTTCACAAGGATTTACAGTTTTTTATCGTTTTTTTGGCCATTTGAGCATAAAAGTTGTCATTATATATCTCGCCATGGGTCTCAAGAAAGCCATTGGTAAGGTTCAACCTAAGAAAATAGCTGTGAGTAGAGGCAGTAGAGGATGTCCCTTCTTGATTAAGAAAATGTGTGAAGTATGGGAAGAACTGCAAAGTTTTGTTGAAAAAACTCACCCAGATAAAGCTGTAGCAGGCCGTTGCATTGACCTTTTAAATGATAATGTGATGTCTTGCTACAGACAAGTGTTAAAATGTTGGGAAAAACAAGTGTTATTAGACAAATTCTTAGTAAAACAAGCAAGTCCTAGTTGTATGCAGGCAAAATGTGGCAGAGTGTGCATACCAGTGAAGTCCTCACTGCCTGATGTGATAATGGAAGGGGACTCCCCTTCCAAACAGTAACTCCTCTCTTCCTCCCACCTCCTCACCATCTTCCATACGCCTACAGCATTCAACAGCAAGGTAAGTAATAACTTGAACATAGTTTTGTAGGTTTATTTAGATGAATTAGGTATAAAAATTTAGTTTGATGTGGGGTTTTTGGGGTAGTCAGGAACGGATTAATTCATTTCCCTTTATTTCTTATGGGGAAATTAGCTTCGGAATGCGAGTTTTCGGAATACGAGGCGTCTCCAGGAACCAATTAAACTCTTAAACTGAGGTATGCCTGTACTTTACTTTTACCATGCACACCACAATATAAGACTTTTAAATAGCTTAGCAGTTTAAGAATTAAAGGGCCATAGTTTAATTTTCTGGGAGGGCTGTCCTCAGTGGCTTCCTTAGCTAACACAAAGCCTCAAAATGACCTATCAGAAAGCAGCCCGTCCTCTAAACAAGGACCCAAAGTCCACTCCATGCACCTGCCAAACCCCCTGTTTATGAATGAAAAGTGGTTTACACACGACTCACAACTGAAGGTATCCGAACACTTCCAGAACAAATGCTTCGCTGATGACTTTTGTTCAAACCACAACTCTGTAAAGGCTTCACCCACGTACTACAAATATGTACAAATAATCTGCAACAGAACCTAAACACATAACCTAACCTAACCATACAGAAATAACACGTGGCTTACAGAAATACAAGTAGCATTAAAAAATAACCTACTGAATACTAATGTCTGATTAACAAATACTTAAGATAAATTGATTTAAGTGTGAGTTTTATTTATCAAGTGTGAGGACGGGTTGAACACCAGAGCTTTTTTCTGTGGCTTTTTCTCAAAGGCCTTTGGTCCCAGAGGCTATTTCTGAAGGTGTTTAGCATTCCCTTTAGCCATAGCATTATATACCCGTAAAACTACCTATCTGCCAAGGCCGTAAATGCCCAGGTATTACTGTGGTTCAAAATCTTGATGGGAAAGCCCTCAGGAACCAGGAAAGGTCTTTTGACAGCTGACAGCCTCCTGTCCCCATTGAAGCCACTAGAGAGAGAGTGGCCCTTGGGTAAATTCAGGTAAACTCTCGTGAGTTGTACTGCTTACTACCTTGGTGGTGCTTTGATCTCATAGCTCAGGGGCCAGATTCACAAAGCAGTTACGCAAACACTTATGAACGTGTACATCTTTCTTCAATCTTTGACGGCTTTGATTACATTTATTAAACAGTTTACAAGCATGAAAACTTGCCAATCAACTGTTATTGTTATAAACAGCCTCCTGGTGCTTCGGAGCTCATTAACTGTTTAATAATTGTAAACAAAGTCGCCAAAGATTGAGAAAAGATGTACAGGTTCGTAAGTGTTTGCGTAACTTCTTTGTGTACTGTATCTAGCCCCAGGATGTAGCATTTCATTGACACTTGGGCACCCTAACCTACTCATTTAGACATTTTTGTATTAATATTTGCAACATAATGGGTAAGTGAGGTTAAACTGTACTATACTTGCATTGGTGTAATTTATTACTGACTAGCTCTATTTGATTAGTTTGGGATAATATTAATCTTTACTCATTTATAGATCAAATATTTATTAAATAATTTATACAAAGAGTGCATGACATATTTTGAAGTATATGCCATGTTGAAAATATTGTATTAAGAGTATTGTCAAATTTTAGTTCCATAATTACTGTATGTTATCTCTGTCGAGTGTCATATTCTTAAACCAGAGATGCAGTAGACCTGATGAACTTCACAGTGCCAGAGCTGGAGGTTCTCTCCTTCATTAACTTTAACAAACTACCAGACATTAATCTACAGGAAGAATCTGCAACAAATGGAACAGAAGAGATGAAGGAAGTGTGTAAGTACTCAAATCATATCAGTTTTTGAAACATTTTGTTTTTAGTTTGGCTTTCCTGAGGACTAGACCCACCATGTTGGTTCTCATATCATTTATATAGAGTTTTCAGTTTTTGTAGCTTCCAGTAAGAGCAAGGATTCAAACAGTCTTATGAGAACTCGTCACCAAATGGTCTGGTGTTCAGAACATCATCATTATTCTTCTGGACAACATGTTTTATACAGATTGGTGGGGTTTGCTGGGTTTATTTCCTATTCTTGAGAACAGGAAGCTTGTACTTAGTGTTATCCAGGGTCAGTGTCTATGCAGGACACTGCTCACATATCAGACCCTCGTCGACCCACCATGACAGGTTACCGTTGTGGAAAAGTCCTGACAGATCATTTGAAATTTATTCAATACCTTTTGAAGTTACTTACCACTGTGGGGAAAGAGATTGACAGGTAGATAAAGTCCTGGCAGATCATATAAGCTGTGGATTGGGAGCAACTAGTGAGAGCAAAGCTTAGAAAGTGCATTTCTTTTAAGTCTGGAATGCATTCATATTTTCCCATATGGTTTTCCTAAGGTTTGTATTGCATGAGTTCTTCCTATGATGAGGTTTTCCAAGAATTCAAACTCTCACATAACTTACTGTAATAAATTTCAGTATGAGCATCTTAAGATTATTCTTCCAAACTGTTTGGTTCCATTGATGGTCTTAAAATAGCATTATTTTAAGACCATCAGTATTTGTATGTATGTATGTGTGTGTGTGTATATATATATAAATTGATGTAACCCCCTTTTAATTTCTTCTCAGCTAAAGAAGAAGAAAAGCAGTCTCTTGATGACGTATGTCTTGAAACTAAACAAAAGAAGACTGGTGGTGATGAAAATATGGAGACGTCTGGAGGCAATGCAAAGAGCCTGAAGCTGGAATCTGCCAAGCCAAGAAAGGTATCTTGTCATAGTAATTTGTTTTCTGTCACCGAGTCCTATTTGTCCTATTTCTGGGCTTTTACATTTAGCTGCTCCATAAAGTCAGATCACACCGTAGTTTTAGACATACTGTACATAGTCAATCAGGGCAACACATATTACAGTTCTCCATAGACAGGAATTGCAAGAGTGCAGCCGGAAACAGAAAGGGAAGAGATGGGTATAAACTCAGAAACTTGCTCAGATAGCAAGGCAGCAGTACCAAGTGAATACTGCCCTAAGCTGAATGACGGGCAACAGAATCAAAGCCGACAGGCCAAAATGCTAGCCAAACCGATCAAAAAACTCGCCTACCCAGAAGGATCCCTGGCTGTGCTTGAGAACAAATTTATCAGAGTGGAGTTGGATACCTAGGTCTCTTGCAATAGTTAAGCATTTAAATACTATCCATACTATTGGATAGTATGGATAGTATTATGTGGACCATACTATTGGCCTGCAAAAAGGTTGGAGAGGAAGCCCCAACCTACATAGGACATGTTGGTGAACTGTTCGAGAGTTTTATTGAACTGAATTAACTCTAGTAAAAGACTCCAGTGGACACCACCAGAGTAGAGGACTCCTCTAAGCTCGAGTTGTCATGCTAATTCCTGAGCTGGTGGTGAACATGTGAGCAGAAGTACATTTTGAGTTAATTGAGCCAAACCTGACCAAGAACATGACAATAAGCATCCTGGAGATTGAGGGATACAATCCAAGAATGTACCAAGAAAACTCTGATTAACTATCATAAGTGGTCATGCAAAATGTCAGTAAGAAAGGAAATCATTTGATCTTGACAAGTCAAGAATTAGCCAGTTACAGTAGTTAGTTTAGTTCATTTATTATGCACCCCATAGCCATCTTGTGGCAGTAGTGGAAAGGGTTACAGAGGCACATAATGGGCTCAGGGACTGAACCCCACAATTGATTTAGCTAAGCAAGTTACAATCTTGATGAGCTAGTTAGAAAATTTAATATAAGTCGTCACATCAACAATGGGTTCGAGATCGACCACAAGTACAGTTTCTAAATTAAGCAACTGGCGTGTGGAGAGCTAGTGTCACAATTTATGTTTGTCCTGCACACCGCCCCCCATCCAGTAGGCAGCGGTGGATAGGTTACAATCACTTAGTTACTACCTACAGTTAGCAAACTGGGGATATTTGGCTAAAATTTGTGGTAGCATATCATTTTGAATGAAATATTTACACATCGCTGGAACATTGGTTAAATCATTCTCTAAATTCACGTATCTTTTCACACTCCACCACTTTCTCTGTTGAAAGGGCATAATAGAGAAGCACAGCAGTACATTTGCTTCTCACCACGCTTAGGATACCCATGTGCATAGGAAATAGGCATTCGTGTTCTTGAGAGAGAATTGTAGGAGGCAGGTGGGGGGGGTCTGGGTGGGGTGGGGGACCTTGCAGGAGGCAGGTGGGGGGGGTCTTGGTGGGGTGGGGGACGTTGTAGGTGGGAGGTAGAAAAGGTTAGCATTATGGAAAAAGGCCTAACAGATGATTTGAAAGTTATCAAATATAATACATTGTTACAAATTTAAATTGGACTTGCCATGAAATTTAACAACCCAGAAGAAGACATTGTTAAAACCAAATTGAACATGAGCTTACATAAGCCCACATAAATTATAAACTCTCCTTCACCACCTAAATATACCCAGTAAGTAACACACGAACCCGTCCTCTAACCTGTTGTGTTATTTCATATAACATATTACTTTACTTTATGTTACATATCTGTCAGAATTAATAGACTATGATGTTGACGTTTTCTATGCATTGGCCTTGATAGACTAGGTTGGTTGCTTGGGTTCAAGCATTTCTAGTTTGTCAGAAGGTTGCCGTGTTTATGGATTGTCAAATCGAGAGAATGAGGATTGGGATGCTAAAGAGTTAGCCAGTCAGAGGCTTGTGGCTAACACAGGCATGTCCCTGAAAAATAAAATTAATGTCATTATACTCCCCTAAACTCATTCTTCTTAACTCATTACAGTGCCTAACACTTACTACAACAGCCAGTTATCATTCATGACTGTCTTGAGATACTGGCCTGGGTAGAGACTGCTTTTCGCTCATTCACGTGCAATCATAATGTATATATTTAGCAGGTTTAGTTAATGTAGACACGTGTTATTTGATTTACTTTATTATTAATACAATGTTTCAATATGCAATAGATTTATTTGTAAATTAATTATAATGCATTTGTTTTATTGCGGGTGTAGCCACCTCTAGTGTTCTTTGTGCTCAGGACTCCAACACATCTTCATGGGACAATATTTTTAGCTGGGCAACGGGATCGTACATACTTCCCTGGATTCGCCAAACACTACCTGGAAAGTCCAGGGATGTGGGTTAGATTCCATCATATTACAACAATATTGTCTTATAGTATATCTACATCTATACTGTATATGCAACAATACTTGAATGGGCTCTAAATTGTGTGTATCAGAAAACTCATCCTCGTGAAGGGTTCGAACCCAGCAGGTAGGTGTGCATAGGTGTATGGAGTGCCTAGTGGTCTGGGTTCGCGCCCTTCACGAGGATGAGTTTTCTGATATATATAACTTGAGGCCCATTCAAGTGTTGTCGCACAAATGATACTTGTGTTTCCTCACATAGTAAATTGATTTGATTTGATATCACATATCATATATATATACTGTATCATGTTCTTGTCATTTAATTGTGGAAACTTTAAGGAGGTTTTGGTTGAAGATAATTACACAATTTTTTTTACAGTTTCTATAGTTCTTTATATTTCACTATTTCACATATATTTCACTTATATTGTTCTTTTAATTTAGTAAGTATTTTGTAACTATACTGTGCTGTATTATTTTAGTTTGTAAGAAGACAAGTAGAAGATGTGCAGATGTCATCAACTGTACTTCGAGGAAGCATTGAAGGTCTTGTTGTAGCTTGTCGCCAGTACCCCAACAACATCTTAAGAGACTTGTTACATTTCCTCAAGCCTGGTCATCCTTTTGTTGTTTTCTCTCCTTATAAAGAAGTAAGTGGAATTGTTATTTTCACCGGTATTCTCTTTTCTGGTTACGTCCTGTATTCACCTATTTGTACTTGCATCAGTAGTTTTGGAATACAGTATAATGATAGGGGCCTCGTAGCCTGGTGGATAGCGCGCAGGACTCGTAATTCTGTGGCGCGGGTTCGATTCCCGCACGAGGCAGAAACAAATGGGCAAAGTTTCTTTCACCCTAAATGGCCCTGTTACCTAGCAGTAAATAGGTACCTGGGAGTTAGTCAGCTGTCACGGGCTGCTTCCTGGGGGTGGAGGCCTGGTCAAGGACTGGGCCGCGGGGACACTAAAGCCCCAAAATCATCTCAAGATAACCTCAAGAATGAAGTGATTCTTTCTGTGGGGAGCTCCGTTGGCTCCCTGAAGCTATTCGAACTGATGTGGTATATTAGTTTGGGGGTCATCAGCCACAGGGGTCCATATGCCTACCGGGGACCACGAACCAGAACCTGGCTCCCTCAGAGAGGAGCAGGCTACCTTGAGGTGCTTCAGGGGCTTAGCGTCCCCGCGGCCCGGTCGTCGACCAGGCCTCCTGGTTGCTGGACTGATCAACCAGGCTGTTAGACGCGGCTGCTCGCAGCCTGAAGTATGAGTCACAGCCTGGTTGATCAGGTATCCTTTGGAGGTGCTTATCCAGTTCTGTCTTGAACACTGTGAGGGGTCTGGCAGTTATGTCCCTTATGTGTAGCAGGGAGCAATGTCCTACAAGCACTTTACATTTAAAGTGTGTCATAATTGGCATCAGCTGGGGAAGCACACAGAAAGATAGGCGTAACAAAACAGACCACAAGCTGGTCGCAATCTTGACCAGCTTGTTCAGACAGCTTCAGGGAGCCTCTGGGGCTCACCCGAAGGCATTTCATTACGTTCAATGCTGGTTTTTTTCACTCATTTTTCTTCGTCATATTTATAATTAAAGTATAATTGTGGTGCTCCATTTCCCTTTGAATATTTTTACCAAAAAAGGTATAAAACTGCTAAAAGTTTTGACACTTCCTATAACAGTACTGTAAGTAGTTGTAGATTGACATGATGGCCACTAGAATACTGTATTGTAAGATGCCACAACAATGTTCCAATGTGTATCATTTTTCATTTTACATATACCCTGGCATTGGTTCCGAAGATCAGTGTGCCCGTGGCCCGGTATCCGAATAGGTCCCCCCCCCCCGGTATATTAGTAGAAAGAACACAATTGAGGTGATGGCAGGTATCAAGGTCATAAATTAGTGAGTAGCTATCACAGTGGGTGAAGTAGTAGTTGGCAGAATAATTAATAAAGCTTACGTTAATCACCGGGAAATATTAATATACAGTAAGTACTTGAGAAATCTTTTATATTATTTAATTTTAAGGTGAAATAATGAGAGAATGTGTAATAAGCATGAAAAATATTGTATAGATTTGCATTGTGAAAAATATTGTATAGATTTGCATTGTGAAAAATATTGTATAGATTCGCATTGATTCATAGTAAGAATAACACACACAGATGTGTTAACTTGAACTTTCTTTCTCTGGTCTGTCTATTGTGTTTGCTGACATATAAGATGTACCTATCTAGCAAAGATGGTTTGATTCAGCATATAGTTTTTGAAAGTATGTAGTATTCAAGTGGTTTTGTAGGGGAAAGATGATTTACATACAATATATAATCAGTTGGGAACGGACCAAAGGCATATCCTTTCTGCCTTCAAATATAGGATCTATATACCTGAGGGCCACGACTACTCGACGAGGACAGGAAGCCGGCGGCTTGTCAAACGTCCCCCAATAAACCATTCTATATACTGTTTGACAATATTAACCTTCATACTGTTGTGTATAGACTAGTACAATAATCTTTCAATTTGTATCCCTTAATGCTAAAGTTCTCTTGTAACTTTTGACATTCACAGCCCTTAATGGAGTTATTCATGGAAGTGAAATCCCAGGACGGCACAAATGTCCGCCTCAGTGAGACGTGGTTGCGGCATTACCAGGTATTACCGCAGCGGACTCATCCAGAAATCAACATGTCGGGTGGAGGTGGTTACCTCCTCTACGGCACAAGGATTATGAAGGAATATAACTCTACAAATTCCAAGTGAAATCCTCCAAGGTAAATTAAATGAAGACAGTTTTAAGTGATAATAATTATCCATATCTCACACCTTATTATAATAACTAAGTTGTCTTGGTTGCCATGGAAGTACTAAAACAAATTAAATTACAGGTGTTGCTGTTTCTTCTGCTCGGATGCCTCTGTTTACAAGTACGATGTTGTATCATTAAAAAGAACACAAAATTTAATAATTATGCCCCATGAATAAATTCAGAAATTTAGTACATATTTTATCATGAATACCCAATAATACACACAGAAATCACAATTGCATGATGCATCAAATGAACAAGGCCACAAGGACAGTGATGAGCGTTCGAACCTATGCGCGGGATGATCCCAGACGCGCCTTAGTTGACTGCCAATACATGGTAAAAGAATTGCCCAAAACGCTATGCGTGCTAGTGGCATTACAAGAATGTTAAACTTATTTTCTATATTCTCTGTTAACCCCCAATGTAACTTCTTGTATATAAATAAATTGCAACATGGAGCACTACTGCCCTCACAAGGCTCCTGTGACTTCTCCGAAGCACAGGGGTTTTACACAATTTCCCCATGCACCCGGGCTCTGTTAACCAAATGTTCTACCTCTGTTGCCCCTAACGTGAATAAACACAGAAATCCCAATAGCATGCAGCATGAAATGAACAAATCCACAAGAACCGTGATGAGGGTTCGAACCCTCGTGGATTTGTTCATTACCCAATGATCATCACATTCGCGACTCCAGCCTGAAATTGTTGTGGCCGTTAAGATCACTTCACCCCTCCCCGCTCATGTCATGACAGGTGCCAGCAGGAGACCCGTCTCAGTTCACCCATGTCTTGCTTTACACACAGTGGTGCAAACACAGCTTTCTACACCTGTGGGGTGTAGTAAGCCACTTGATTATGTATTGTATTAAGCTACCTGGGAGTGTATTAGGCCAATTGTGGGGTATTAGGCAAGTTGGGGGTTGTATTAGGCCACCTGGAGGTGGATTGGGGTTCTTGGGGGTTATTATGCCACCTGGGAGTGCATTAGGCCACCTGGGGCGCCGCCCTGCTCCTTATTGTCCACATTGCATTGTCCCTCTTACAGTCGTGCATATTCTTGTTGAATGTCGTAACTTCCAGTACGAGCGTCTTGCTTCCCAACCGTCCCTCGCGGCACTTGTCCCTCGGTGTAATTCTTGGCGAGTCGGATACTTTGGATATCGTTTGCTTTATGCGTTTTTGTTCTCGTATTGGCGATACTTAGCGCCCTCTGATTATTCCACACTTTGATGGTGCTACATAGCCTTCCCGGTTGGTGCCTTCTTTTGATAATTGCCTTACCTTAGGTCACCTGGGAGGTGGGCTACTACACCCTCCCCCCCAGGTGTAGTAGGTCACGTGGGGGGTTTGAAAGGACCGGAGACCTTGTGGGACTGAGCACAGTGCTCCAAATTTAGCTATATTGTTTGCTCATAAGGAGGTAATTGATTAGCATCTGTGATTGCCTCTGAGCAGCCTCATGACGGCAGTATTCAAAGAAAATCTAGTTGACTTGAGGCAAGGTTAAATAATGAATAACAATAATAATTATTAGTACAGTATTACAATGATTGTTATTATTTAACCTTGCCTCAAGTCAACTAGAATTTCTTTGAATACTGCTGTCATGAGGCTGCTCAGAGGCAATCACAGATGCTAATCAATTACCTCCTTATGTGCAAACAATATAGCTAAATTTGGACCACTGTGCTCAGTCCGACAAGGTCTCCATGCCGTCTTCCACATGGTCGAATTACTGACCATTCCAAGGATGCATGAACTGTCAATGCAATTAATTATTAATAAAGATTATTATAATCTTTTCACATACATTACCCAATACCCATCGGCTGTTTGAGGGTGGGGCGCCGTCTGGGGGCTTAGTGGGCGGCTGCCGGAGTGTGATGCTCCTTGGGACAGTCCTCTGTCCTTTTCTAGCCTTGTGCTCCTGCTGCCGTCCTCTCCAATTCTGCTGGGCATCTTTTCCTTTTCCTTCTGTTTCGTTTTTCTCCCCCCTCTTCTCCTATCTGCTTGCCGTTTCCTGCCGACCTTTTGCTCGTTCTGGTTCTTCCCTTGGACTTCTTCTACTTTGACACCCGGGTGCTTGAGGAGGCATACTCTTGCACCCGTAGAACTGCGGTACCCGACGTCGAGAGCGAGGGGAACCTTTTATTGTCAATCCCCACTTCGTCACTGAACCCGATCTCGACGGACTGTCGGTTTCTTAAGGTGGCGTTTGTGGGGCGTATACTCACGACGCACCCCTAGGAGGCCCCGACAAGATCGGCGATAGCTTCTTGTTGGGTGTCCTGCCTCTAATTGTGGCTCCATGGTGGGTGTGGGGGCACATTCGTGAGTGAATTCGTAATTTCGTCAAGATGATAACCCCTGTTTCGGCTGTTTCTGGCTTACCTTTTCAGGCTCGTGGGGTGGGCGACCAAGCCCCCGAGTCGGTCCGTATTGGAAGACCGGGCTCTGTAGCCTCCGCTGCATTGGGCCCCGACCTTGCTCCTCCTTTGGCCTCTCTGACTCCTTCCCCTGGCTCCCCTCCCTCCTCTGTGGTTGGGTCGAGCCCCAAGCCCCCAGTGGTGTCTACCTCGTCCCCTGGCGCGGCTCCTTCTCTAGTTGTTACTACTGCGCCTTTTAACCCCTCTCTCTCTGGGGGTTCTCACCGCCGTTCTCGTCACGGCCGCCCTCGCTCGATTCCTTCCAGTTCTGCTACCTATCAAGCCTTGTTTGGTCCCGCTTCGTGGGCCAAATATTTTGATCTCCTCCCTCTTGATTCTGCGCCTCCTGACGATTTCTCCCTTCATCGACATCTCATTGATTCCGTGGATGCCTCCATTACTTTTAACCCCACTCGTCTCGGTACGCGTGTCGTTGCTGCTCCTTCTCAGGATGCTGCTTCCCGCTTGGCTGCCTTATCCTGCCTTGGCGAGACCCCCGTTCGGGTCTCGAAGAACGTCCAGTTGAATGCCAGTGTTGGCACTATTTTGCTCCCGCCCCATGTTGCGACCGGTGTTCGGGACCTACGCGACTGCCACGACGATATTCGACATATCCTCGCTGCCCAGGGCCATTCTATTCTCCAGGTGGACACGTTTACTCGTCCCCCTCGTGGTAGTCGCCGTCAACCCCTCCGGGTTGTGAAGATTACCTTTGATGGTAGGACCCTTCCACCCTCTGTCATTCTTGCTGGTGCCAGGTGCTCTGTCCAGGAGTACATTCCTTCTCCTCGGCTCTGCAACAAGTGCTGGAGGTTTGGGCATGGTGCCCTCCGCTGCTCCGGGACTGTCTCTCTCTGTCCTTTGTGTGGTGGCGAAGGTCACTCTAAGTCGGAGTGCGCTTCTCCCCAGGCTCGTTGCCTCAACTGCGGTGAGGCCCATCCTACCTTCTCCCGTGCGTGTGTCCATTACAAGCTTGAGGCAGCCGTCCTCAACTTGAAGCACCGGGAGCGTTTATCTTTTCCTGAGGCGAGGCGCCAGGTTCGCCGGCTCCCGCCTTATGCTAATGTCTCTTATGCTCGCGTGTTGCGCTCTTCCTCTCCTCGTCCTTCCCGCCTTCCTCAGACTCGCAACCGTTTCCAGGCCTTGGACCCTGATGCGCCCACTGCCCCCTCCTCTGTCCCTTTGGGTTCTCTCCCGAAGGATCCTCCTCCTGGTCCTCTGTCTGGGGTTCCCCTTCCTTCTACCCGGTCTGTCGTGTCTTCTGTGTCTCCTTCCTCATCCCCCTCCGATCCTCCTTCCCATCCTCTTCCTCCATCTATCGGCTCTCCCCGCCGCCTGTCGGTGCGGGCGGATGTCCATCGCTCTCCTAACGGCCGTCGTGTGTGCTCTCGTTCGGCTTCTCCTGTTGAGACACTGGAATCCGTTGCCCGGTACGTAGTTGCTGGGACACCGGTCTCTTTAAGTCAGAAGCGTAAGCCTGGCTCCTCTCCTTCCTCTTCCCCGGCGGGTAAGAAGGCTTCGCTTTCTTCCTCAGCTCCTCCTTCTGGCTCTGTTGCTCCTTCCACTCCCGTTTCAGTGCTTGCGCCCCCTGTTCCTGCTATGGAGGTTTCTTTGGCCCCTGCTTCCCTTTCGGTTGCTGCTCTTGCTGGGGTGCGCTCCTCTCTTTCTACTCCCCCTCTTCCTGCTGCTGTCCTTGACTGCTCCTCTCCGTTGTCTCCTCCTCCTCCTCCTCCTCCTCCTCCGGACCCTGCCCGCCCACCTCTGATCTGTTCTCCCGTTTCCTCCCTCCGTCTTTGCTCAGTTTACCCATGCCCCCTAACCCTGACTTTGCTGACCCTGATCCCGACCCTGATATTCTTTAACGTGCTCTGTTGGTCTTTCGCCTTTGTTTCTTCCTTGTTCTCTGTTTTTGTCCTTTCTCTTCTCGTCGTTGTCCATTCTTCAATGGAACGTTCGAGGTTATTACGCCAATTTCCTCGAACTCCAACTTCTGGTTTCGCGGTTTTCGCCCCTTTGTGTCTGTCTCCAGGAGCCGATGCTTGGTGCTCGTCCTGGTCGTTTTCGTGGCTATTCCTTTCTCTCCCCCCCCCCAGCCATTGCTGGGGCTTCTAATTCTTCTGCTCTCTTGATTCGGGCTGATGTTCCCTTTGTTCCTTTACTTTTTCCTTCGCCTCTCCATTGTTCTGCTGCTCGTATCTTTGTGGGGAAATGGTACACAGTTTGTTCCATTTATCTCCCCCCGGGTGTCCCGCTCTCTCTTCCTGATTTGAAACACCTCCTAGACTCCTTGCCGGAGCCTGTGCTCCTGCTGGGTGACTTCAATTGTCGTCATTCTCTTTGGGGTGACGTTCTGACGAATACCCGGGGTCGCCTCCTTGAGCCGTTTCTCCTCTCTTCTTCCCTGTCTCTTCTGAATTCTGGTGAGCCCACTCATTTGGACTCTCGAACTCGCACCCTTTCTTGTCTTGATCTTTCTCTCTGCTCTTCTTCTCTTTACTTAGATTTCACATGGCAGGTTCTTGATGACCTCCATGGAAGTGATCATTTCCCCATCCTTGTTTCCTTTTTCTCTTTTCGCCCTTCCCTCTCTTTCCCTAGGTGGCAGTTTGCTAAGGCGGACTGGACCCTGTTTTCCCTCAGTGCTACTCTCTCTGACCTCTCCCTTCTGCCCCTCTCACGCGCTCTCCTCCTTTTTCATGACACTGTCTTCGACGCTGCCCTCCGCTCTATTCCTCGCTCTTCCTCTCGGGGTCCACGGAAGTGCGTTCCCTGGTGGAATGCG